CAGTGACACATATACTAGACCCTTTGTTACTATCCAACAGGTCTCTTTGAGGCTGTCTCTTTTTTTTTTTCCTCCCAACCTTTTTTTTTTTCCTGTTCTTCAGATAGGATAAATTCTACTGATCTATCTTCAAGTTTACTGACTTTTTGCACTGCTGTTTTCATTCTGCTCTTAAGCCCACTGAGTGTGTTTTTTTAATACATATCATATTTTTCATTTCTATAATTTCTATATGTTTCTTATAGTTTATATGCTGAAAATTTTTCTTTTAATTTCAAGTGTGTTTTCCTTTACCTTCTGGAGCATAGTTATACTAGATGTCTTCAAGTCTTTCATAAGTTCAGTATCTGGGTCATCTTGACGTTACCATCTGTTGGTTATCTTTTCCCTTGAAAAATGGTCATACTTTCCGAATGTTTTTCTTTATCAAATGATTTTGAATTGTATCCTGGACATTGCCATTATGTTGTGTAGACTTTGGTCTTGTGTCATCCTCTGGAAAATGCTAAGGCTCCTTAGGTGCAAACTGCAGCTTCTGTTTCACCTTCTGTGGGTGGTGGTTCAAATATCACCTCAGTTCTTAAAGCTGGGCTAGGACTGTTCCGTGCATCAGTGGCTTAGAGGTGAGCCTGAGGCCTATGTGGCTTGTACACAGAATTAGGAGATCTCCTTCTCTGATTCTCTCCACTCTGGGACTCTCCCCTGACCCTTCAGTGCCCTAGGGGCTCCTTTTCCTGGTTCATCTGACCAGAAAGGTGGAGTTTGTATTGGAGTTTTAGGCATCCTCGTGGTCACTACAGCAGTGTTCCTCCTGGACAGGTCTACCCTCAGGACAAAGCCATAAAGGGAAAAAAAACAATGGAGAAGCTTGTCCAGTGCAATTGCTTCTTCAAGGTTTGCCTCCCCCTACAATTCAGATGCTTTTGTTTACTTCCAGAATCCTCTGGTAGCTGTTTTGGGTACACTGTCTACAGTTTTTAGCTATAATCAGTTAAAATAGCATATGGGTTGTCACACTGCCATAACAGAACTAGACCCTCTATACTTTTATTCCTTTTTGACACTGGGATTATTTAGAAGTATGATATGGGGTTTATTTTTATTTCCAAGAAGTTATATTTAAGGGTACATCCTTAAACTGACTAAAGAGGATGTTTATACTGATAAAAGATGCAGTCTATGGGAATTCCCTGGTGGTCCAGTGGTTAGGACTCGGTGCTTTCACTGCTGGGGCCCGGGTTCAATCCCTGGTTGGGGAACTAAGATCCTGCAAGTCCTGCAGTGTGGCAAAAAAAAAAAAAAAAAAAAAAGATACAGTCTATCATGATTTTTAAATTTTATTAGCTAAAAACTTTTTGTAAAGTGGATGAAGAAAAAAATAGTTGGAAACTCAAAGACAAACCAGGGTCATAGTAGGAGATTCAAAACACCTTTCTCAGATTTGACAGATTGAATAGAGGATTTAAGTAACAAAATTAATTTCCTCAGTATGCTTCATTTAATGGTTACTTGTGTACAGATAAGTTTATTCCCATTTTTTCCAAATGTCTTATAAAACATTTATTTAAAATCAGACCAAAAATAAAAAACCCAACTAGGTCACATAGAAAATTTCAAGTTCTCCAAAAGAAAATTCCAAAGTGTGACTGTATGCATCGTGGACTACAGTGAAGTCGGAAGGTTAGGTGTTACCTTCTTTTCATCCTTGCAGTCACAGATTTTTACCAGCTTCTGCGCTGGGCCTGATGAGGGGGTGACGGCTTCTAGCAGCAGATATACCAGGCAAGTCACGGATGCCAACTGGTTTCACTTCTCAGAGTCTAATCTTTTTAAAGGTAATTTCTGGTTTATGGGGTCATCTGACTTTTATAGCCAGTTGCTTACGTAGATTGGAAGCAGATAGACTGAATCACTTGCCTAAAAGTACACAGTTGGAAGCACATACCCTTCTGGTTCATTGTTCTCTGCCCACCTTATACCACGGGCTGCTTAGTCTGAGTCTCAAAATGGATCTATTCTCAGTTTATTTTGGAGATTAAGGGAAGAGTCAAGGCAGGAGTGGGAAAGTTTGATGATCACTTGGATCTTATTTTATTTGAAATTTTGAGGGCTTCCAGGACGTCCCTGCTGATGTGGTTTTTAAGAAAACTAGATTTTGGTTTATCAACCATACAGGTCAAATTTATTTGTTTGGACAGTTGGGGTAAGAGTTATTAAAGGAAACCAGCCAAATTTTAAAACAAAATTAATTAAAGAAACCACCACAGAGAAGATATTTGAGGGTTGTGGTGTTGGGGATGCTCTCATCATTAGGAATAAGCTATCTTTCCAAGTTATAAGGCTGTATGAGCCAAGTAGTGGTATATGGGCAGACCTCGGAGATATTGCAGGTTCAGTCCCAGACCACTGCCATCAAGAGCAAAAATTGTAACAAAGTGAGTCACATGAATTTTTTGTTTTCCCAGTGCATGTAAATGTTATGTTTACACATAGCCTATTAAGTGTGCATTGCCATTATGTCTAAAAGAACAATGTACATACCTTAATTTAAAAATACCTTATGGCTAAAAATTTCTAACCATCTGATAACACAGGGTTACCATAAACCTTCAATTTGTGAAAAAACACTATCTGCGAAGTGTGATAAAGTGAAGTGTAATAAAATGAGGTCTGCCTGTACACAGTTCTGGCATTTTTGGTGACTCTGGACAAATTGCATGGCCTACATATTTTCTTTTCATTAAGAGACTACTGAGACATTAAACCCAGTTTACAAAGCTAGCTTAGAATTTCACTGTTTCAAGATCTACTTTGTATACCTTAGACAGCTCAGTTGAAGTACGTCTTCAAGGAAATTGTTTAAAGAAATCAAATTAGATTTTCATCTGATTTTAAAGTGTTTTTCTCTGTCTTAAGGCATTTAAAAAAGTATTATTACTACATCGGCAGGTAAGAGAGAAAAGAAAAAAAAATAGACCTTAACCTAATCACTGTTAGCATGTTGATGCATTATTTTTCACTTTTTTTTCCTGCCAATTACACCTTTTTTTTTTTTTTTTTCCTTTTACTATCTGGCTACTTAAGGGGGTGATGGTGAATTAATGTGGTTGCAAGTTAATCAGGGGCCTTCAGTTTCACTCACTTGACATTACTCTCTTCAACCCTCTCCTCCCCACTAGCGTTGGAAGAGAAGGGGTTAGTAAGAACCGTTCAGTTGTTGCCTAATTACTAAGTTAATGGGATGTTCCTGTTGCACGTTCCACCTTTCCTAGGTAATCAAGAACTGAGTATAGTTTCTTAAACCTTAGCAAGCATCAAAGTCACAGGAAGGACTTGTTGAAACACAAATGCTGGGCCCCACTCTTATAGTTTCTTGACTCAATAGATCAGGGTGGGCCTGAGAATAAGACTTTCTAACACGTTCCCAGATGATGCTGATTGTGTTAGCCCAGGACCACAGTTGAGAACTATTGGTGTGTAGACCATGATTTTTTGAGTGATCCTCTGACCATCACTGACCTCCTTCTGATTAACCGAGAGTTGATTTTAGTTGAAATCATAATTTAGATATTTTACATTATGATTTTCATCTCAGGCATTTCCCCGAGTTGCTGTAAAGCATTTTAACTTAAAAAACTACACAAGTAATGCATGTTCATTAAATAAAAATCAGGGAGTAAAGAAGCTAAAAGAAAAATTAGTTACAAATTCCTCCAGGTCAATACTTTTAGTGTATATCTTTCCAGTCTCTCAATAGATAGACAGACAGACAGATGGACAGTCTCTCTGTGGTCATACCACCCAGAATGTCTTCGATTTTGTCTGATCTTGGAAGCTAAGTAGGGTCGGACTTGGTTAGTACTTGGATGGAAGACAGACACAAAACTGTGTGTGTGTGTGTGTGTGTGTATACACACATATATACACAAATATATCTAACAAAAAGTGAGACCATTTAATACATGTATTTTTAGTTATGTAGTTTTTTTACTTGCTATGTAGTGAGTATCTTTTTATGTTGAATATAGATCTAAGTAATTTTAATTGATGCATTTTCCAGTTTATACTCTAATTTATTTAATTAGTTCTCTTAAGAGTTTTGCTCCAGTTTTTCATTATTAAAAATAATACTGCATTGACTATCTTATGTTTCTCTGTATTTGCTTAGTTATTTTCTTAGGGTAATAATCTACATGTATGATTGCTGTGTCAAAGGTTATGCACTTCCCTGTCAGTCCAGTGGTTAAGACTCTGCTCTTCCACTGCAGCACGGCCAAAGGGAAAAAAAAAAAGGTTATGCACGTCTAAGAATCTTTGCTAGTCTGAGAAACAAAAAAAGTATTCTAGTTTAAGTTTATATTTAGTTATCAGTAAGGTTTATTGGCCATTTTATTTATCTTTGTGAATTACCTATTTATATCCATTGCTGATATTTCCATTGAGTGTCCATCTTCTCATTTTTATTTGTAAGATCTTTTTATTAGAATGTAAACTCTTTGCCATATGTTTAAAATAGTTTCCCCCAGTTTACTTGACTTATATCTTTTTTTTTTTTTTTTTTGCGGTACGCGGGTCTCTCACCGCTGTGGCCTCTCCCGTCGCGGAGCACAGGCTCCGGACACGCAGGCCCAGCAGCCATGGCTCACAGGCGCAGCCACTCCGTGGCACGTGGGATCTTCCCCGACCGGGACACGAACCCGCATCCCCTGCATCGGCAGGCGGACTCTCAACCACTGCGCCACCAGGGAAACCCTGACTTATATCTTTCATAGGTTCATTTCCCCCACCTACTGCCCCGTGCAGAACTTTTAACACTTTTCTGGAGTCAGATGGTACCCAAAATGCTTAATTACCATTTTTAATGGCTGTGTGATATTTCTTTGAGCGGGGTCTACCAGAATTTAGTTTATTATCCTCAACTTTTAGGGGTCCTCAAGAAGGCCTGAGTATGTCATCTGTGCTTTGTTTTCAAAGTTCTCCTACTTCCTTTCTTTAACCAGATGCTAACCCTGAGGTGACCATGACAATGCTTCGCTGGATCTATACGGATGAGTTGGAGTTCAGAGAAGATGATGTGTTCCTGACTGAGCTGATGAAACTAGCTAATCGGTTTCAGCTACAGCTCCTTAGGGAGAGGCAAGTCACAGCAGATATATTCAAGCACCTCAGATGGTGGTGGCTGAGCTTTAATTATGCCAAGCTCTGGGAAAACAGCTGCTTCTGCTAATGTAAATAACTTTTGCAAGGTGTTCTTTTAAACGCAATAGTGGGGAGAGAATTTTATCTCCCTTGCTTTGTGTTATCTTGTAAGCTAAATTTTGCCAAAGCTTTTAGGTATTCTCTTTTCTTTCACTGGTTTATTACCTGAGATTACATAGCTGTGTGAACTGATGAACTGAATATGAAATAATATAATCCAATGTCCAACGCCTCAACTTTCTCTCCTATACCATTTCCTTTTGACATTTTATTCTACTTTCTGATATATCTACTTAGAAGGAGTTCTTGGTCATATTCTCTTGTTAGAAACACATTAATGACTAAATTAGTACATGAGAATCTGCCTCAGTAAGTTTCATAGTGTTTCTGAGGTCTCACTTCATTTGTTAACTGCTTTTTAGGTTCCAAGGAGATAGCCTCCTATGTTTTTTATATTGCATTTTCTCTGTTGCTCTCCCGAGTTGGCCTTTATAACAACAGAAAACAAAACGTTCACCAGACGATACCAAGCAAAATGCCCTTTAGTTTTTGTTGGAGATATGGCGCTTGGTAGTCAGCTTGGTAGATGGAGCATCTTTTTATGTCACTTAGTACTCTTTTGTATTCTGCATGCGTGAAGGAATGGCTTTTTTCCTGGGTGGGTGGAGAGGTAGTTTCAGCTGTCAGGAGGCGTTCCACTTGTTGTGTTGCCCTCAGTGAGTCAAGAGAGGCCTTGCTCCTAGAGCTGCTTGTTCTGTTTTCATTATGAGGCTGATGTTTCCCCTGAGATGACCCACTGTGCCCCACATGAGACAAGTACACAGGTTACTCCTGACTATCTGTGATTGATGTGGGCTTGAGTGCATTTTAATACCTAAATCCAATAAGTAAAAAAAAAAAACCAAACAAGCAGGTCTGAGGTTTGTAGGTACATATAGTATTAGGTTAGCAAAGATAACTTTACTGTCAGGGCCTTTCTTTGGGTGAATTTTTGAATCATCTGAGAGTGAAATGAGAATAATTTAAATTAGATTGAGTGTGATTTATATCTACTTTTTCCCCCCCAGATTTCCTGAGTTTTCTCCCATTGACCTTGTCAGACTTGCTTGTAAATTAAATTGCTTTGATAAAAGTGCCCTGCAGTTTGGAGTAGTTTAGATAATTGTAATCTGTTTAATGGATTCTTTAATTAGAATGTTTGTTGTTTATTGACTGATGAGGCTTCATAACTGTCAACATTACCACATGCTCAGTGTTGTATTGTTGGATGTGGGCACTAAGTTTATCTGTCATGGCTTTGTTAAGGGCTGGGATGGAAGAGACCCAGTAGCAGGTTCAATTGTTGGCTTTTGAAAGGTCACAGAGCGCCCACTGCTGTCTTCAGGAGAAATTACACATTTGAAATAGTAAGTGAAAGGGCCCCAACACAAATGTGTGCAGTTAAATGTGAAGCCGGTGTTGCTCATTTTTGTAATGTAGGGGTCTTGGTGGTTTGGGAATGCTATCACCAGTTTGATGAAAAGGAAGTTTTGGGCATAAGCATTATCAGGAAAATACTCTTAAAAAAGGAGAGAATTAATGGTGTATGCTAACAACTGACAGTTTATATAATTTTTTCCTGATTATTAACTACATATTCAGTTCATGGTATTTAGAAAGTATAGAATGATATAAAGAAAAAAAGTAAATCATCTGTAATTCAACCACTGTTAACCTTTTGTTGTTCATTCAGTAATTTTTCTGCCTCATGTTCACACACAGGATTGATAAAAAACTAGACAGGAGTTTGTGGGACGCTTGAGTATATGCTTGACTTTGTACTTTAAAAATCAGGTTTATCATTTTTGTGCATCTGTGTCCTTTTTGTACTCTAAAATTAAAAACATGTATTAACAGCAACAAAATCCCTTTAGAGGAAAGTTAGTCTGCCTTGCTACTTTTCAAAGAGAAGATATGAACTGAGAATCTGAGTTTTAGATATAATTACATGTTCTTCAGTTGTGTAAATCATGTCAGTTACTATTTATAGGCTATCCAAATAGTGAATGGCACTCTGGGGATCCCAGAATTTAGTGAAAATGAAGTGTCTGCCACTTGTAACAAAACATCTGTCTTCATGAAACATAGTTGAGTATCTTGATGCAGTGTATTTTGGCAGTAGTAAGGAGGGGAATAGAATTTTCAGACTCTCAGCATTTGTCTGTAAAAATGCTTTGTAAAGCCAGAACTCCCTGAGATCACACCATGTTTTAGGACATGAGGATATATGTCATTGTACAAGTGGTAAAAGTTTCACATACCTGAAAAGAGGACTTTTCTCCTGGAATGCTCTGATTTCATAGCCTGGGTCAGAATAACTTCAAACATTGCTGTCAGTCTGCTAATAGTTTGGGGAAACTAGTGGTGCAGATAGCAGAGGCTCAGAAATAGAACATTGTTATTCATTATTATAGTAACTTATTTAGATATTGTGACAATTTGATTTAAAAGTGCCCTGGGGGAGGTGCTTCTTCACACCAAGCTGTGTAGCTTAAAGACAAAGCACTTAAGTACAGGTCTTGGAATAAAATGGGTGCCTGCATTTACTGCCAGATGGAGAAATGGCCTCAGGTCTCATTTGTGAGGTTTAGAGAGTTTGTTGCCCCTTCTTCCCGGGTCTTTCTCATGACTTTCCTCCTCTCCTCCCCCATCTCCCACTCTCCACTTGGTATCCAAACCTCACCTGTTAGAATTGGGAGTTAGCCGCTAGCCAGTCAGTTATTCTTATTTATAGTAGTACTGAAACCCATTCTTATTAGTTATTAAATTATGCAGCTTCCTTGAGAAGGACCTCAGCTTGCAAGCAAGCATACCTCCTATGTACCTCAGACTGTGCAAGGCTTACATAGTTTTCCTCTATCTTGGAAAACACACAGAGATCCCCTAAACCTCTGAGATAGAGTATTGTCTTACAGGGGAGGAGGTGGGGTCACAGGGAGCTCGTGTAGTTTGGCCCCTCAAATTCCGTGGGCCTCAACTCAGGTCTTTCTTACCTCACGGTTCACTTTGCGTTCAGCACTGTATGCTGCCCTTGTGATCAGAACATGGTTTTTGTGGGAGCTGGGGACAGAAGCAGTGGTGGGGTGTCAGGGAATGCCTGATGCCATATTAGGCCTCTCGACTGCCCTTGGAGGTGAACCTGATTTGTAGGGAGATGTTCAGGCAAAGGAGATGGGAGGGCCGTGTCACCTGCCTCCTTCCCCCGGGCCCTGTGCTGTGGAGACCCACCAAGGTTTCCAGGAACTCTGGGGCAGTGGAAGTGTGGGCCTTCCCAGTGCTACATCTTCTAGTCTAGGACATATGCGTGTGCCTGCTTTGTGCTGCCAGAGGCCTGCGTGCAGCCCCCTCTTCCCCGACGTAGTTGGGGCTCTCTTAGTGACTGTGAGAGTCTTGTTATTGTTGCTGTTGTTGTTGTCATGTTGTTACCAGGCTCTATGGGACATCCGTTGTAGCCAGTTCTTCTCTGTCTGGTGTACTATAGTTTGACTCTTAACTCAATTGTTTCTATACATGATAGACTTTTAAAGTGGGTTTTCTAAAATCAGCTTTATTGAGTTATAATTCACATATCATATAGATCACCATTTGGGGAAGACTTTTAAGGAGGTGTTCATTTATTGAGGCATAGAGCCTCATATTTGAAGTGATTTCTAAGCCACACTGGTTGCATGACAGAGTTGTGCTCGTGGGAACTGCAAACGTGTCCCATACAATTAAATATCAAAGGACTGAATTTGATGCATTGAGTGTTTGATATTACAATTGCCTGTGTGGTATGATTACCAACTTTCATGTGATTACTTTCAAGGCAGTTGGGGGGTTATGCTTAACATATTTATTTACAGATTATTTTGGTTCTGACCAGAATGAGCAATATAATAATGAAATTCTAGGACTTATAAAACATAGTGGGCTTCCCTGGTGGCGCACTGGTTGAGGGTCCGCCTGCCGATGCAGGGGACACGGGTTCGTGCCCCGGTCCGGGAAGATCCCACATGCCGCGGGGCGGCTGGGCCCGTGAGCCATGGCCGCTGAGCCTGCGCGTCCGGAGCTTGTGCTCCTCAACGGGAGACGCCACAACAGTGAGAGGCTCGCGTATCTCAAAAATTATTTAGATATTGTGTCACAATATCTAAAAAAAAATGAATTGTAGCTGAGTTACTATATATGTTTTTATATATATATATATATATATATATATATATATATATATATATATATATATAGTAACTCAGCTACAATTCATTCGTAGCTGCTTTGTTTAAACCTTACACTTTAGTGCTATTGGACACGGGCAGGCAGTACACAGATTATTGCTTTGGTTTGTTTATGAATAAATTGGTCCTAATAATACTGTTGATCATTAAAATTGTCTCGTAGATGTGAGAAGGGTGTGATGTCCCTGGTGAATGTCAGGAACTGTATCCGCTTCTATCAGACTGCGGAGGAACTGAATGCCAGCACGCTGATGAACTACTGTGCAGAAATTATTGCAAGTCATTGGGTGAGTGTGAGACTGAGAGGTATGGAAAAGCACCTTCACTGGAAGTCAGAAGACTGGGGCTTGGGACCTGGTTCCATAGAAAGATACCTCTCTGGCCCCTCATTTCCTCTTATAACAAAATTGAAGGCTAAGTAGTCGCATTAGATGATCTGTGAGATTCCTTTGGGCTCTAAAAGTCTCATAGTTCTGATTTCAGAGTAGAGGAGCAGAAGATAGCTGAGGTCAAGAAGCAGGCTTGGAACGGAGGGACACAGGCCTGCTTTACCCTCCATCTGCAGGATTGGCAGCTGAGCCCCGGGAGCCGGTGCTGCTGTAGGGCCAGCAGGCCTGCTGTGCTGGTGCTGGGCAGCACCGCTTCCAGGCTTTCCCCGCCTTCTCGTCGTGTGGAGGGTGTTGTTAAATTTACATATGCCCTTCTTAGGTAGCTTTCATCATAAAGACAGACAGGTCTTGCATTTCTTTGTTGTTGTCTGTTTTGCGTTTTTCAGAAAATCATGGCTAGGGCTATGTTTATAACCTAGTTTCTGCAAATTGTTCGGTACTCAACAGCATTATGAGAAAAAGTGTCTTAAAGAACTGGATTTTAAAGAATTGAAACAGGAACCATAACCTTTCTGCTAAAGTAGGTAGAAACTTAGAGATCTGCAGCAGTAGAGAGCGATGGTGACTCAGTGGACTGAATTGTTTGTGGAAGTTCTGATTAATTCTGCACCTGTCTCCTGTGTGGGGTTGAAGGGGAGGACTCTGTTCTCACGGGCAGGGCTCCTTGTGACTTCGTCCTTGTGGAGTGTCCGTGTTGCCTGTGCTTTACAGTCTCACCCAGAGGCAGGGCAGTGCTGTGGTGAAGAGTCCTCGCTCGGCAGGTGGGCCTCTGGGCTCCAGATCCCGGCTTGGCCGTTCACTCACTGTGCGAGCTGGGCACACTAATTAGCCTCTTTATGCTTTACTTTCTTCATCTGTGAATGGGGATAATAATAGTACCTACCTCATAGGGGTTTCGTGAGGATTAAATGAGTTGAGAAATGTTAAGCCCTTTAAAATAGGGCCAGACACATTCCAAGGGCTTCTTAAGAAATGTCAGTTATCGTTATTGTTGATATGTTGAATCTGTTCTGCTTTTCACTGTCTTTTTAATCCTTAGGATGACTTACGAAAGGAGGACTTCAGCAGCATGAGTGCTCAGTTGTTATACAAAATGATCAAGTCCAAGACTGAGTACCCATTACATAAAGCTATCAAAGTGGAGAGAGAAGATGTGGTCTTCCTTTATCTAATTGAAATGGATTCACAGGTACTATACCTTTTCCCCAAGCTATACTTCTCTTGTTCTTCTCTGCAGTGCTCCTCACTTTCTCTGAGCCATTGCTGGCACAGTCTTTAACTTACATATTTCTACTAGTAGTTTGTCCAAGGCAGTCTGAGCTTTTCCTGTCATGCTTCTCGGTATTCTTCCAGCCTCTGCCCGTTGCCCACTTCCAAAGACATGTCCACATTTTTAGATAGTTGTTACAGCAGTACTTAACTTCCAGGTACCAAAATCTGCTTTAGTTTTTCTTTTGCTACTGTAAGAAATTACCACAAACCTAGTGGCTTAAAACAACACAAATTTATTATCTTACAGTTTTGCAGCTTGGAAGTCCAGTACAGGCATCACCCATCTAGAAGTCAAGGTGTTGGCAGGCTGCGTTCCTTTCTGGAGGCTCTAGGGAAGCCTGCTTGTTTGGGTTGTTGGCAGAATTCAGTTCCTTGTGATTATAGGACCAACATCCCCATTTTCTTCTGGCTATCAGCTGAGTCAGGGCCATTCTCAGCTTCTAGAGGCCACCACATTTCCTTAGCTCGTGGCCCCCTTCCTCTGTCTTCAAAGCCAATAATGGCAAATCACGTCTTTCTCGTGTCACAACTGTCTGACCTACTCTTCTGCTTCCCTCTTTCACTTTTAAGGACTCATGGGAGTAGATAGATTGGGCCCTCCTGGATAGTCCAGGGACACTCTCCCCATCTCAGGGTCCTCAGCTGTAATCACATCCACCAAGTGCCTTTCATTGTGTGAGGTGACATAGTCACAGGTTCGGGGGGTTAGGACGTGGACATCTTTGGGGCTGTCATTCTGCTTACCGCACCGCCTTAGAAGAAATGTAGCTGCTCTTGACGGATGGCTGTGTCGTGTGTTTTATCCAGGGTGTCCAGGGTGTGGGCGAGGCATTAAACTGCTAGGAGGAATTAGATAGTTAAGCCACCGTCTTTTGTGAAAATGTGAGCTGTTTCCCATCAGGCTCTCTGAACCTCTGTCCTGACACTTGTGTTCCTACAGCATTGTCTGCATTTCCCCCTTGTACTGTCTTCCATGGTGTTTGCACCTGCTCTGTGATCCCCGTTAGTCCTGGGCTCCCTGAAAGGCATGAGCCCTGAGGAGGCCTGAGAGAAGTTTGTGAATTCAGTTGAATTTGGAGAGTAAGCTATAGTAAGTTATAGGACTGAAATTTGACATTTGTGTGAGATGATTTTTAAGAGTCAGGGTGTGAGAGATTTAGTTGTATTCTCTACTGGATGGGTGCTGATTTACAAATTTCTCTGTGCAGCTCCCTGGGAAGCTGAATGAGTTGGATCATAACGGAGATCTTGCTTTAGATCTAGCCCTTTCACGACGACTAGAGAGTATCGCCACCACTCTGGTTAGTCACAAAGCTGACGTGGACATGGTGGACAAGAATGGCTGGAGCTTGTTACATAAAGGCATCCAAAGAGGTAGGAAGAAGCGTATTTTATATTTTTTGCAGTGGGCAGTTTTACCTTTATCCAGGTAACTTTTGAAGACTTTTTTTTTTTTTTTTTTTGTGCGGTATGCGGGCCTCTCACTGTTGTGGCCTCTCCCGTTGCGGAGCACAGGCTCCGGACGCGCAGGCTCAGCGGCCATGGCTGACAGGCCCAGCTGCTCCGCGGCATGTGGAATCTTCCCAGACCAGGGCATGAACCCGTGTCCCCTGCATCAGCAGGCGGACTCTCAACCACTGCGCCACCAGGGAAGCCCTTGAAGACTCTTTGACCCTGTTCCTGTTCCACAGATTCTCAAAGGCTTCTTGAGTCTGTACTTGCAGGCTACATGATTTAGAATTTGTGATCAGTGGGTCAGAAGAGAGATGGAAGAGCTATTGCCTTATGCCTTGTTGGTTAGGCTCTTCAGAGTGTCAGCAGGACCCCCAAAAGAAGGCTAGAAAGATGGTACTTACAGAAAAAGTACCTTTTACTTGCAAGCAATTGATGTGTTATTTGCTTATTCAATACATCACTTTCTCCAGAAATTGTGCTAGGAAGACTTCACTTGTATCAGTTACTGTCAGAGAGGGAAAGTATCAAGAACACAAGTATTGAAACATATTCTTCGAGTCAGAGTTTTCACTTTTACAGAATAGACTTCTCATAGATCATGACAAAGTGCTAAAGTTTCATTTTGTTCTTGGGAAGTTATTTGAAATTGTAGCTGTGTTTGAGTACATTGTCATTAGTAGTGGGAAGCTATGTAAGTGATAGAATTACGATCAAAGCATTTTCACCTTATTGAATTAAAGGGAAACAAGTACTAGTCTTTTGTTTTTCCCATGGCCTTAATAATTCTTAAGTCCCAAATGGATCCTGCCTGACTCTACTTTGCAGTAGTCATTTTTTTTGACAGAGTGAAAAGCTATATAGGGATAGAGTTCCAGTATGGAGAGAAACCTTTCAAATGTCTCAAAGCCTTCATGTTGTAGAGGGATAGATGACTGGATTGAAGTACTTGGCTGTGGCCACTTTTTTGTTTACATGTGGACATCGGAAACAGAATACGTGTAATGGTTTCCCCATATCTTAATCATGTATGTTTAACCTTCCAGTTGTGCATTATTGTACTGTTATTATCTCTGCCACACTTTTACCATTCACAAGTTGCTCCTAGTTGGTGGAATGTAGTTACTTCAAATAAGGTCCTGTTGCAGCTGTGGCTTTGCCCTTTTTGGGCATAGGTTTTAATATAAATATCCCTCTAAGTCATGTGTTAAGAGTGTTAAGCATGCTGGCTGATGGAGAGGAAAATTTTGTTCATCATTGGGAAGGAAATCCTTAGAGTATGTCAGTGTCAAGAGCAGATGCATTTTTCCCAAGCACCACTCCACACTGTGCAAAGCCATTGGGTGCTGAGCACTGGGTGTGTGTTCAGTGGGGAAAGTTTCCACCACATCAGAAACTATTCTTTCCCATACTGTTTAGTGTCTGAAATGTTTATTTTGGAAACAAATAAACTTGTTACTAAAAAAACAATCTCAGAATTATGTCTGTTTCCTCTTAAGGACTTAAATTCTTATGTATGATGAAAAAACATCTTTGATGAGTTATTAAATATTATGATGATTGCTTAGTTACAAGAATTGCCAAGAATTGGTGGTGCATTTATGGTGCTTATTTGCAGATGATTTAATCTTCTGCTCTGAATTTATTAGTTGCTTGCAAGCATGTGGGCTGCAGTGTGGGCATGGTAAACTTGATTGTTGAACGTGGCAGTGCGGCCTGGTGTGGAGCACGGAGTTATTGGCATTGGAGCCTGGATGTACCAAGCTGGGAATCCTGGCTCATCCACTTACTCTATGGCCTTGGACAAGTCACTTAACCATTCTTGAGTCTCCTTTTCCTCACCTGTAAGGTGGGAATCATTTCTGCTTTACTGGTTGTTGGGAGACTGAGAGGCAGGTTAGTAGCACACCTAGCCCGGTGACTACCGTGTGGTGGGGTCAGCCTGCAGCTCTTACCTTGCCCCTGTGTTGCAGTGCCACGACCAGCTTCAATTTCTGTAGGAATTTTTTTCACCTTTCCTTCTTCACCTTGAGCTGTCAGTCCATTGACCTGCCCAAGTGATTAAATCGAGCATTTAATCTGAAGTTTAACCGTTAACCTGACTTTAAGTCCATTGTAATATGAATGAAGATCCTTAGCATGTGAGGTTTAGGTCTGGTTGTGGACACACATTAGAATCTCTAACCAGAAGACTCGCTAATCATCCTAATAACCAAGTGTACCCATCAGTTTGTATCGAGAGTGCGTCTGTGAGTGAGTCCACAGGAGATATACATGGGACCAGAGGGATGCCATCTCCTCTGATTAGCTGGATCTGGGCAAGAAGATGAATCCTTACTTTCTAAAACAGTCTTCTTGTGCTTATTTTCCTTGATGATCAACATCAATCAGTGGGTCTCTTAAGCAGCGTGCTCCTATGTAATTGTTTGTAGGAGGTTTGCAGATGATGCCACCAACTGGAGCAGCAGGAGATACAGCTTTTGTTAATTAAGTAATGAAAGTTACTGCCTGGTCCCTGAATGAAACTTTGGTCAGGGAGCTTTGTTGAAAGAAAAATTCCACACTTTGTTGAAAGTGTGGATTTTTTTTAAACGTTAACTACGTTGTAAGGAATATTTTTATGTGGACAAGTCGTTATACATTTACTTGGCAGTTTCAGGGAGTGAAGTGATGAAGTAATTGGAACTGTTAAGCACCAAACAGTTTTTGTTTTAACAGTTTTTGATGAAAATCATTCTAAAATGTATTAGCAGTTTTCTTATTGACAGAAACTTTATAAATGGTGTTTTTGGCATTTTCTGTTCCCTCCCTTTGTTCTGCTTTTTTGATGTCAGTTGTCTATTTCCTCTAGGTTGTATATCCACGGGCTGACTTTCTGTTAATGTAAAACATCATCAATTTTCAGTTGCCTATAATTCCTAAATAACTTTTTGTGTAGGGTGCATATACTGTATGTATGTATATATGGGTAAGTTAAAAAAAAAAAACAAACTTCGGTGCTTATGAATAAAGTAAATCTAATCTAAAAGCTATGATTTTTTTTTTTTTTTTGCGGTACGCGGGCCTCTCACTGTTGTGGCCTCTCCCGTTGTGGAGCACAGGCTCCAGACGCGCAGGCTCAGCGGCCATGGCTCACGGGCCCAGCCGCTCCGCGGCATGGGGGATCTTCCCGGACCAGGGCACGAGCCCGTGTCCCCTGCATCGGCAGGTGGACTCTCAACCACTGCGCCACCAGGGAAGCCCTATGATTCTTTTCAAGAGGGCTTAAGATATAAAAAGTTTCTTTATTATGCCATCCATCTGAATCCACCCATTGATCTGTACCCTTATTTCTGTGTGCAGTATTGCCCAGTTTATCTTCTGTGTGTATAGTGTATTATAAGTTTTTCATTGACGTATTTTAGCTTTACCATCTGTTTACTACTTAGTTTGGAATATATGCCAAGCTTAAAGATAATGAAACCACATTTCACCTCTCCCCCAGTATGTTATTTATCAGATTTGTCATTTTAAGGCTCTCTGTCCTCATAATTCTAAATTTTCTTTCCACTTCCAGAATGTAAGTGACTTTCTCTAGGATATTTTATTCTATTGCTAGTGTATTGTTTTTACATACTCTCTTCCAGACTGAATCTCTGTGGGGTTTGCTCATATTACACATCAGGGCCCTACTGAGAACCCTAGTATGTATTTGTACATATGGACAGCAAAGACCTGACCCAGGCTAATCCTTTTTTTTTTTTTTTTCTTCCGTTATGCGGGCCTCTCACTGTTGTGGCCTCTCCCATTTGCGGAGCACAGGCTCCGGACGCGCAGGCCCAGCGGCCATGGCTCACGGGCCCAGCCGCTCCGCGGCATGTGGGATCCTCCCGAAACGGGGCACGAACCCGCGTCTCCTGCATCGGCAGGCGGACTCTCAAGCACTGCGCCACCAGGGAAGCCCTTGCTAATCCTTGATATGCATGTTACCTGCTGCTTTCAGAGCTCTACCGACATCTTTTTGTAAAGAAATCTAAGCTTTGGTCCTTTGCACACGTTGCTGGTAAAGATTGTATCTTCCCCTCCCCCCCCCCCCCCAAGAAAAAAATCGGGGACAGAAGAATGAAAAGATTTCAGAAGGGTCTGGTTAGAGGACTCTTAAGTTACCCACAATCATAATTGATTGGAATTAGAGCCATTCTGTTAAAGTGGAACCTTATATAACTTCAACCAGTCAATCCATTTTCTTCCCAAACATTTCCCTGGTGCCTGTTTTTGTATAAGACAGTGGTAGATACAAAAATAAGTCGACATGGACCAATCAGGATATGAGGGGCCTGTGGTGGCCTAGCCACGTCAGTGCCAGAGCTCACACTTTCCAGCAAGATGGTCCCTTGGAAGAAAGAATAGAGCAGATGGGAAATATTGAAAACCAGTTGATTTCGAAATTCCATGTCTACTGAAGATTAGATGAAACTCATATTATTCAGATGAATAATACAGGAATACAGCTAACAGACTTGAGAGCTTTGCCACTCCTGAAATCCTAAGCCCCGTTCTCGATATTCAGGTAGCAGAATATAGTTGAAGAAGATGAAACGGTATTGCAAGATATAAAGGAAAACTTCTCATAAGTGCCTTTGCAAGAGCCACTGCAAGTATAGCAGGTTAGAGCCAAGTATTGCTTAGGTATAGACTGTGGTCAAGAATGAGAGAGGGAGATAAATTGTGTTGTGGAGGAATCTCGGAACCCTTTATGAGAGTTAATGACCTTTGAAGGGTAGAAGCCTGGTGTGCTTAAAACTGTGAAGTGATACTGAAGCGAGGGGTCAGGACAGATGACAAGAGGTAATCAGAAATTGAATTTGAGTATGTAAGTCCATGATCTCAATGATGAAATCTTCTTTGTCTACGGTTACTGACTGGTACCTTTTTGAGGAAGCATTGGTCAGAAAAGCTTGCCCCGAGTGTTGTCATATGTGACCATTTCTTCTATTGTTTCTTTTCAAGGAGATCTCTTTGCTGCCACTTTCCTCATTAAGAACGGGGCCCTTGTCAATGCTGCTACGTTGGGTGCCCAGGAGACACCGTTGCACCTTGTAGCATCGTACAGTTCAAAAAAACACTCAGCAGATGTGATGTCCGAGATGGCACAGATTGCAGAGGCCCTCCTGCAGGCTGGTGCCAACCCCAACATGCAGGACAGCAAGGGCAGGTAAGTCGGGGAGCAGATCACCTGCTCTGAGCACAGTTCCCAGAATGTGATTTTATGGTGGCACATACCTGGCAGGCGGGGACTTCATGTTTTTTAGTTCAGCATTATTCACTCTGAATTTTATGGAAGTTACAAACATTGATTCGTTTTGCAAATGAGAGAGACGACTAAGGCCAGAGGCATTTGGGGAAACCATTTCCATCCTGGGTAACTGGGGTCCTTGGATCTTTAAGCAGTTTCTGTCATCTCCACAAAACTCCATTTCCACCTTCTTGTAAGTACCTCTGCTTTAGACAGCTCTGTCCACACAGCTTGCCATCTTCCACAGCATACTGATAGTAGTTGTCATGTTCCTTTTGCCCCTTCCCAGAAATATTTGGTTGAGGATTCCTTGTGGTTTAGAATCTGAGAATGGGCTGCTTATCTGTGGGACAGCAGTGTGTGAGGCATTGAAGGGAGTTAAGCCACCTGAATCACCAACACTAGGGGGACCCACTTCTTACCATAGCAGCTCAGTATTTTATACCTTTAAAAAACCCTGTCAAAAAATAACTGTGAGGTCGTCAGAATAGGAAAATAGATTTGTGTGATGAGTAAGGTACTTAAATAAGGTGGATCTCCATGAACTCAGTATAATGTCATAATTACCTTATTTCCCAGAATAATTGCATTCCTTTTTTTCTTGTGATTCCTTAATCTTTTTCCCCCAAGTGTAATAAATTCTGGCATTCTGTACCTCTGAGATAGATACCAGCCTGGGAGTCCCTGTGCTCTGTGGTGGCCATCTTCCTCAGGGCACATGAGGGCTAAATAAAAGCAGTGAAGAGTGGTTAATCAGTTCCTACCGTTGCCACTCATAATGTGTTTGAGTACAACAGAGAATTATGGGAAGAAAAAAATTTCTTTTCAGAATTGTGGAGGATACGTAGGGGAAAGTAGGCATACCTATGGCAGAAACTACTGTTTTATTTGTTTTAAAAACATGAGTACATATACATTCAATGAGGGTCAGTATTTAATTGAAGAGTATTTTATATCTCTTCCTTTTATTGATTCTTGTTCTTTTGGCTACTGAATAAATTGTAACATATAATCAAAGCCATTTTCATCCTTTGATACTTGGTCATGGTTTTGGAAAACTGTTTGTCAGGATAGGAAAAGAAACTCTGGCAGAAATGGGGAATTTCTTGTGGATTCTAGCTGCCTCCTGCTGTGAGTAGTCCTGAACTGGGCCTGTCCTGAATTGACACCTCTTCTTCATCCTGTAGGTCTCCCTTACACTTGTCCATCATGGCCAGGAATGAATACGTGTTCAACCAGTTGCTGCAGTGTAAACAGTACGTAGGGAGACATGGAGAAATGAAAAAGCAGTTGTGAGGGTGGGATTGTGAGTGAAAAATGATTCTCTTAAAATGTCTTTTAGCATTATCCATTTTAACAAGTAAAAGTAAAATAAAAAATTGTCATTCATAAAGTACAAAGAGAAAGAATGAGGCTGTTGACAGTAGAGAGTGCCAGAAGACGATTATACTTGCTATTCACATTGCTTCCTCATTCCAGATTAGATTTAGAGCTGAAAGACCATGAGGGCAGCACAGCTCTGTGGCTTGCCGTGCAGTACATCACTGTGTCTTCCGACCAGTCCGTAAATCCCTTTGAAGACCTCCCTGTGGTAAATGGGACTTCATTTGATGAAAACAGCTTTGCGGCCAGACTCATTCAGCGTGGCAGCAACACCAACGCACCTGATACAATAACAGGTAAAACACAGACCCCTAAGAGCTGATGCTCAAGTCTGGAGACCCCATGAAATATTGTGTCAGTGTTTTTACCAAAAATTTAAAAACTGAACGGCGTGCTATTATGAGAATTATTTTGTACGTAATTTTAACCATAGTAAAAAGCCTGATCTTGTGCTTCCAAAAATCTAGCCAGACTCGATAAGTCGGTTAAGCTGAAGCACTTCTATTTATTTAATGCAGTGAATTTCAGTCTTTTTGGACTCAGAACTCTTTTCACGCTCTTAAAAATTATATCCCAAAGAGCTTTTGTTTAAGTGGATATCTTTGGTATTTACCATGTTAGAAATTAAAACTGAGAAATTTTTAAAAGATGTATTAATAATAATAACAACAAACAATTTTATGTTGACATATAACTTTTTTATGAAGAATAACTTTCAGAACAAAATTTAGTTGGAAGAGTGACTGGTTTCTAGTATCTGCATCTGTATTCAATCTTTTGAGATACGTTGTTTCCGTTAAAGAAAATACCCTCACACAGTGATGTAGTTGGAAAACGAGGCATATTTTAAGAGGCTTTTCAGATAATTGTGGATATATTTCTTTGATACTACAGCGAGAAGAATTTATCAAGGTATAATTTTTTTAAGGTTAGTTGCCATATGGAATCTGAAACTATATCAGTGAACTTTTTATACTCTTATATAAAATCCATGGTGTGTGTGTGCTTTGAATGGATTTCTTCATGTGTGATTTTGTAACATCATGCCTTAGTCATTTGGAAAATCTTGTTTCACTGAGTTATGCAGATCTTCAAAATGTTCATTCATTTTAGAATCACATTTATTAATATCACCACTGATCTCATTGGAAAAGTCTTTCAGTATTGAGAAGCTGTTAAACTTACAGTTGCAGACAAAAGTTTTCCAAAATTCTAATTTCACTTGGAAGATCAAATTTTGTCATTTGGTGGAAATATTGCCAGTTGTTTTTCTTACAGAGACAGGCTTACTTTTTAAGAAATTGTCAAATACTCAGGTTTGAATAACCATAGTTTATCAGTCATTCTTTCAAGTAAAAATGGTGTTCCATGAAAAAACTGTTAGTTCAGCTTGCAGTGAAACAATGGCACAAGTACTTTCCTTTGAGACAACTTGTGTAATTTGTTACACAACAGATGTAACATACTTTATATACTTTATGCATACTTCTTATTTTGTCACACAGAATTTTAAAGACATGTACTCAATGTTGAGATTTATTAAAGTTAGTAATTTTTACTGCTTTATCAAGGGCCACCGTAAGTGAAACTGGTTATGTTTTTGACCGAGTGCATGGCCGTGAGGAGTACAGTGATTACCACTAGTACATTTGGGGGCCCCTGCCTTGATTTGTGTTAAGGCTCCCCAGTTTGATCCACCATTGCTTTTGTGCCCTCAGTGCAAATGTCGGCACAGGGGGAAAAAGCAGATAACATCAAGTATTATTATTATGAAAATAGTTTTGACCTCCTGGACCCCCTGAAAGACTCTGAGGAACCCCTACGAATCCAAAGACCATACTTTGAGAACTACTGTTTTAATGTGAATATGTCCTTGATCCGACTAAATAAAACATTGGGATATTTTAAGGAGCGGGATTCCATATGGTTCAGTATTGAGTGCTAGCAGTGTATAAAAGCATGGGTAAGTGCCACTAATGAGGGGAACTGGCCAAAAAAAGATACTAAATATCGCTTCCCCTAAAAGAAGTTAATAATTAACTTTAAATAAAGGTCAAATGAAATCACCCTTTGGGTGACATAAAAGCTAAAGGCAGCAGCAGTACTACAGGATGGGGAGTACAGGCAGAACTGTGTTTTAGACTAGATTCTCTGGAAATGAGATAGTTACTAAATAGCTTTTAATTTATAAATGTTTGTTGGTTATTGACCATACTTCCACTGATTTCTGATTTAACTGCATTATAGAAGAGTGTGACATATAAGAGATCGGTTCTTTGGTGTTTCGGACTTGAATGTTAGACTCTTAGAGATACAGTTTTTATGAAAGTCTGACATGTACTTGAAAAGAATTGCATTCTTTAATTGTAGGATGCATGTAGCATTCTCTGTTTACGTCCATTAAGTCAAGCTTGTTCATTGTGCTGTTCAGATCTTACTCATTAGCTTACTAACTTTTGGACTCCTTGATCTGTCAGTTTCTGGGAGGTATATTAGAAATGGTCACTGCAATTATGGATTTGTCCATTTTTCTTGCTAGTTCTGTCAATTTTACATTATATACTTTGAGTTTTCATAGACACATCAGTAATGTTTTAGCAGTTGCAGGTTATCTTTGTTCTGTAGGGAGGTATATGATTTAGTTATTGTGTACACTGGCATGACTACAGAAGTGAAAATGGGACTCTTATTAGGAGTCTCTCAATTAGAAAGACTCTCAACTAGGCGTGGAATCACTTTCTCTGAGGGAAAAGATAAAAATGGCATGGAAACAAAGCAGTACTTTGTCCCGTTGCTTTTCCTTGGTTTTAGTCCTGGTATTTAATTTATTTTGAGTTTTCAAATAGCATAGCTGTAGAACGTGAGACTTGTGTTTATCCAAAAAGGAAATGGATTTTAATAGAGAAAACACTGTTCTGGGACTAAAACCATTTCAAGATGAAAAGAAGAAAAAAAAATTTTTTTTTTTATTGAGTATAATTGCTTTACAATGTTGTGTTCGTTTCTGCTGTACAAGGAAGTGAATCAGCTCTATGTAAACCTATGTCCCCTCCCTCTTGGACCTCCCTCCCACCTCCCCCCCTGGAGCTTCCTGTGCTTTGTAGCATGTTCCTGCTAGCTCTCTGTTTTATGCATCGTACTGTATATATGTCAATCCTAATCTCCCAATTCGTCCCACCCTCCCCTTCCCACTTGGTGTCCACATGTCCGTTCTCTACATCTACGTCTCTATTCCTGCCCTGCAGATAGGTTCATCTGTATCATTTTGCTAGATTCCACATATATGTGTTAATATACGATGTTTGTTTTTCTCTTTCTGGCTTACTTCACTCTGTATGACAGACTCTAGGTCCATCCACATCTCTATAAATGACCCAATTTCATTACTTTTTATGGCCAAGTAATATTCCATTGTATATATATACCACATCTTCTTTATCCATTCATCTGTTGTTGGACATTTAGGTTGTTTCCATGTCCTGGCTATTGTAAATAGTGCTGCAGTGAACATTGGGATACATGTGTCCTTTTGAATTATGGTTTTTCTCAGGGTATATGCCCAGTAGTGGGATTGCTGGGTTATATGGTAGTTCTATTTTTAGTTTTTTAAGGAACCTCCATACTGTTCTCCACAGTGGCTGTCAGTTTACATTCCCACCAACAGTGCAAAAGGGTTCCCTTTTCTCCACACCCTCTCCAGCATTTATTGTTTGTAGATTTTGTTTGTTTGTTTGTAGATTTTTTGATGATGGCCATTCTGTTAGGTGTGAGGTGATACCTCATTGTAGTTTTGATTTGCATTTCTCTAATAATTAGTGATGTTGAGCATCTTTTCATGTGCCTCTTGGCCATCTGTATGTCTTCTTTGGTGAAATGTCTATTTAGGTCTTCCGCTCATTTTAATTGGGTTGTTTGTTTTTTTGATATTGCGCTCCATGAGCTGTTTGTATGTTTCGGAGAGTAATCCTTTGTCTGTTGCTTCCTTTGCAAGTATTTTCTCCCATTCTGAGGGTTGTATTTTCATCTGGGTTATGGTTTCCTTTGCTGTGCAAAAGCTTTTGAGTTTAATTAGGTCCCATTTGTTTGTTTTTGTTTTCATTTTCGTTACTCTAGGATGTGGGTCAAAAAAGAGCTTGCTGTGGTTTATGTCAAAGAAAGTTTTTCCTACTGTTTTTTTCTTTCTAAGATTTTTATTTAGAAGAGTGATAGTGCGAAGTAAAACATTTCTAAGCCAAGAACAAACATATTTAAGGCCATAGGAGTAAAACTAAAGTATTTAAGGAGCATTTTCTGGTAGAACTTCAGCTCACAGTGTCTCCAAAATGGTCATCTACCCCAGAGGTTCTCAGAGATGACTTTCCAAGCCTCACCCCCCAAGGGACGTTTGGTAACATCTGTAGACAGTCTTGATTGTCACAATAAGGTTGAAGGTCGTGGTGCAGTGGTTAAGAATCCACTTGCCAATGCAGGGGACATGGGTTCGAGCCCTGGTCTGGGAAGATCCCACATGCTGCAGAGCAACTAAGCCCGTGTGCCACAACTACTGAGCCCAAGTGCTGCAACTACTGAATCCCACGTGCCTAGAGCCCATGCTCCGCAACAAGAGAAGCCTCCACAATGAGAAGCCCGTGCACCGCAATGAAGAGTAGACCCTGCTCGCCACAACTAGAGAAAGCCCGCGTGCAGTGACGAAGACCCAACGCAGCCAAAAATAAATTAATTAATTAATAAAAAAATAAGGTTGAGAGTGTTACTGGCATCTGTTGGGCAGAAGCCAGGGATACTGCTAAATATCGCACTGTGTACAGGTCAGACTCCTCACAGCAAAGGATTATCTGGCCCCAAATGTCAGTAGCACTGCTGTTGAGAAATTACGTTCTAACCAACCCTGGTAAGGAGACATAGCTTCTCCCTGGTCCTAGGAGGTGGCTAGTGGGAAATCCAGGGAGCAATGAATGTCTTCTGACTTCCAGACCAAGTGTTTTCTCCCCACACAGGCTCATTTGAGTCTCTGTGTCCACACACAGGGTGCCTGTGTAGACTTAAATGTCACCTACGTCTGGTGTGGGCTTGTAAGTTGTGAAAGGTGGTAGGGAAGGGCAGGGTGTGGTGCAGTGTGGAACTTGACCTCATTTTCATGCAAATGGAAGAATGAACGTGTCCATTTTCTCCTAGGAAATTGCTTAATACAGCGGGCGGCTGAAGCAGGAAATGAGGCAGCAGCTCTTTTCCTGGCAACCAATGGTGCCCACGTCAACCACAGAAACAAGTGGGTAAGTGTGACAGGGCAGCCAGGTGAAGCGGCTTTGGTCTGTGGAAGAAATGGCAGTGGTGGATGGGTAGGAAAAAACAGAATAGATTCTCTTCAATTTTTGTCAAAAAAAAAAAAATACATGGACCAGAGTCTAAGAGATGCTTTTATCCTCAAATATTGTTGATCGATTCATTCAGCAACCACTTCTTAAGCGTTTGTGGTATGTCAGGTCCTAGACAATAGACTGTGGACTTCATGGTCTACTAGAGATTAGCAAACATGGACACAAAAACCTACCATATTAGCATCTTAATTTTTTGTAACATTTTACATTTGCTAAAGTTTTCCTATGTGAATGTTTATTTAGTCTGTATCTCAAGCTAAGGCAGATGGTGCAGTGTTAAAGGGGGGCCTTTCAGGTTGGACATTCCTGGGTTTACTAGGTTTCCCATTTCCCATCCTGCTGTATGTGGTCTTAGGCAAGTTGCTTAACGTCTCTGAGCTTCAGTTCTCATCGGTAAAGTGGGGTTAATATTGATTTCATAAGGTGTGGTTAAGATAAAAATAAATGATAAATTTAAGTGCTTATTAGCATAACATCTGGGACATTAGAAACTAAATAATAGTTATTTTTACTTTATAATTTTCAGACAGGGAGGATGTGTTTATCTTTAAGATCACATTTATTCTACAGCTACTTTGTGCTATAGGAGCTTTAAGGTTATCCCTTTCAGTTCTCACAATGGATCTAGAAGCAGCATGTGTTGAAGAGACATTATCAACATCTGTAAATCCCTCATTTCAGGGTAAAGAACCCTGAGGTTCTGAGAGGTTAAGTGACTCGTAAATAACGGAGCCAGCATTAAGACTCAGGCACTACAACATACAGTTGCATTTTCTCTCAACAGCGCTGGGCAAAGCAGTAAACAGTAAGCTTGGTGTATGAGACAAGTCAATGGGTCGTGGAAGCACAGGGGGGAGGGCAGCGCCATGTTTTCCCACCATGAAATCTACTAATCTGTCTGCACCTAAACCTACACCCGGCCTGCTTTCCAGCTAGAATGATGGCATGGCCATGTATGCACCAGCGGCTGGTTTCTTGGCTTTGCTCCTGCCATTATGTGTGTCTGCCTCTGTCTGTCTCTCTCCTGTATCATCAGTGTTGCCCACTGTTCATTTCTAATAGCATACAGACATGCTCTACTGTCTCTCAACTTTAAAAGAAATTCTCCCTTGAGCCCACATTGTCTACCCTATTCCTTCTCTGATACCCTTCAGAGCAAAACTGGGTGAAACCTTAAGATGTAGAGGCACAGAGGAGACTCGACTTGAAAGCAAGTGAGAATGACACTGGAGACAGGTCTGGAATGCTGGGTTAAGGTCTTTGGACTTTATCCTGTGGGAAGAGAAAATCCACAGAAGTAGACAAGCAGTATGATCATTTTCGGGTTGAGAAAGCTTCCTGGGATAGCTGGTGGGGTGGATGTACCATTGAGATCCAGGCTGGAGCCAGATGGGAATCATCTAGACAAGCAATGGCTTGTCCTGACCTCTGATACTAGATTTGGACCCAATGGGATGGGTTTCAGAGGAATTGCAGAATGATAGTCCATGGGACCTACCTCTGTGGCTCTCAGAAGCAAGGGCTGGAGAGGTGTTAAGACGGTTGTGTTGGATCCAAGAAGAGAAGCAGGGGACTGGCCAGGGGGAAGAACTGCTGTGGGGAGAGTGCATTCCATTTTGTGATTGTTGAACTCCTTCTTAAACATTCAGGCAGGGGTATCCTGCAGGCAGTGGGAAAATTGGATATATAGACAAGGCTGGAGATCCTGGTTTGAGAGTCCCCTGCTTGTATTCCCTGGTAGAAGTCATGGGCGTAGATAAGTGTACCCAGGGAGGCTGTGTGGGGGGAGGGCTGGAGCAGAAGACAGCCCCGAGGAGGAGGCTGTAGGGAGAGGGTGGGGTGGGAAGGGGTCCACCGGGGGAAAGAAGTGAAAGAACCAAATCCTTATCCCCCAGTGAGATCACAGTGGCAGGACCCACACGGGATCCCACACCGGGAAGGTCAAGAGGTGGCAATAAAAACACGTTAGCGGGGCTTCCCTGGTGGCGCAGTGCTTGAGAGTCCGCCTGCCGATGCAGGAGACGTGGGTTCGTGCCCCGTTTCGGGAAGATCCCACATGCCGCGGAGCGGCTGGGGCCGTGAGCCATGGCCACTGAGCCTGCGCGTCCGGAGCCTGTGCTCCGCAAATGGGAGAGGCCACAACCGTGAGAGGCCTGCATAACGCAAGAAAAAAAAAAAAAAAAACACTTTACTAAAAAAAAAAAAAAAAAAACACTTTACTAAAAAAAAAAAAAAAAAAACACTTTACTAAAAAAAAAAAAAAAAAAAAAAAATACAAAACAAAACAAAAAAAAAACACGTTAGCTTAAAAAAATAAAAAACACGTAAGCTAGAAATGAGGAGATTACAAAACCCACTCAAAGAATTCAAAGTGGTTCCCTCTGGGAAAGGAGAATTTTTTTTTAGGGAAAACGAGGTGAGATCTTGCTGTTTTTCACAGCAGGCCTTGTAGGTGAAGTTCTTGGACTCTAAACAATGAGGATGTGTAGCTTCGGTAGGAGCCGGTGCAGAGCAGTGTGTTCAGTTTGTTTGGGTGAAAAGATCGTGTGTGTGTGTGTGTGTGTACATGTGTACACGTATATGTATTCACACATATATACACATGTTTATATGTCTTTGTGTGAATATTTCGTCACTGGAGAGAAACATGAAACTGGTAATAATGGTTCCTTCAGGGGAGGATAATTGGGTAGGTGGGGGGGAAGGCATGAGGGGAAACTTCTTTTCAGTGTATACTCTTGCACCTTTTGAATATTGAATCAGGTACTTCTAATACCAATTAAAATTTTTTTAATTCTAAAAAGTGGGGGAAAGAGGTGTTTCTTGATCAGAGTTCAAGATGAGGTTGATACAAGCTGGTGAAAGAATCAGGGCATCAGTGTGCTGGAGGGGGTGAAAAAGCCGTGGTGGTCGACTGACAGCACCACTTATCTCTGGGGCTGTGGATGTGAGGCTTTTCTGATTTCCACAGTGTTTATTTTAGTGATGCTCGGAGGTCATCTGTTGTTTAATAATAATAATGTATTATTTTTATAATTAGCAACATAATTCTAAAAACTAAGTGAAGGGTGGAAATGCAGAAGATGAGGACCCATCTTGCATGTTTGGAGGGTGCTTGGGAGGACACTGGAGGAACTAAGGATGATGGCACAGGAGAAAGGGAAGGAAAGGAGACCTGAGGAGTGGGACAGACCTCATGGAGCTGGTGACAGGATGAGCCAGGGGCTGTGCCTGGCCCTGGGGACCTGAGTTGCAGCACGTAGGCTGTCTTTGTCCCTTTGTAAAGGGGCCTCCTAGGCTGAAGTGCTCTGACTGGGACTATTCATTTCTGTTCAGGGAGAAACCCCGTTGCACACGGCCTGTCGGCATGGCCTGGCCAACCTCACTGCAGAGCTTCTGCAGCAGGGAGCCAACCCAAACCTACAGACGGAGGAGGCCCTGCCTTCACCAAAGCAGCCTGCATCCTTGCCCAGCTTAGCGGACAGCAGCGTCTACCTGCAGACACCACTGCACATGGCGATTGCCTATAATCATCCAGATGTGGTGTCTGTCATCCTGGAGCAAAAAGGTAGGTAGTTAGGGATTACTGCCCATCACCGTGACCTTTGCACAGTGGTTTTGAGTAGTTAATGACAGAGTTGATGTTTCTTCCATTGGTAAGTTTTCTTACCCAAAAAATCCTTTGCGGTCAAACCAGATAAGCATATATTCTGGCTCCGGCTACTGTTTTTCCCTGTGTACATTTTCAGGATGGGGCCTGCCCACTTCACCTGCAAGGTTAAGGTTTAGAGTCTCTGGCTGCTCCTCTGGTGTTTTGGGGTGTGGCCCCAGGCCACTTCAGTGCGGGTCAAGCAGAGTTCTGCCTTGGCGTGAGCACTGTCTCTGGAATCTCTGCCGCGGCGGCAGTCTTCCACGAGCCGGTCAGCTCTCTTGCCCACCTCTGAGCTTCCCTGGCAGGTGAACCATGAGAGAGGAGCCAGAAAGAGGGGCCGAGGGAAGCCCCTGCCACGAGGGAGGCCCGTTTCCCTCAGAAAGTCATCTTCCAATTTTTCTCTTTCCTGCCTTGAAATTTGTTTTACTCTTTCCTGCATCCTTGTTAAGGCCAGCATCTTTTAGCACTGAGCTCATGGAAGGAAGTGGGGTGTTAGGTAGGCTGTGCCTTTTTCTTAGCCCACACAGGAGGTATACGATGGTAGGACTTATGTGTCAGGGAAATGTCACCAGGGCATTGTTTTGATCCTCTTTTCAGTAATCAAGTAATTAATGTGTGTTTCCATAGTGGACTCTTTTCCTTTTGTGAAGATTCAGTATTTTAACCTTTAAAGCGATTCATTTTTTCTCATAAACTTTGCTCAAATGTCTTGGCTTCCACTTCCCACAACATGATTTATCAGTTCTCTTTGTATAGAAATGATCAGTCAGTCAGTTTGAAATTGAGCTGGTATTCTCTTGAATACTTTAATTGGGATCCATAGGATGGTGAAATCAAGTGTTCTTTTTCTTTTAAAAAATTTAGCTAATGCTCTTCATGCCACCAACAACCTGCAAATTATTCCGGACTTCAGCCTCAAGGATTCCCGAGACCAAACTGTGCTGGGCCTGGCATTATGGACTGGTAAGGTGGTGCCAGAGGCTGCAGACAGACATACGCCAGACAGTGGGTGCTAGAGGAAGGGAGGTGGAAGGGTTGGAGCTAATCATTTGTGGTAGGACAGCCTTTCTGTTTGGGTTCAGCCCATAATATCCAGTGGAGAACTGCTGGCTTTGCAAAGTTGAGAGGGTGTTTGTTGTAGTAAGAGGTTGATGAAGTGGGAGAAGCTGAGCCCACGTTAATCGGAGCTTGTCTCTTTCCCAGGCATGCACACGATCGCAGCCCAGCTGCTGGGCTCCGGGGCTTGCATCAACGACACCATGTCAGACGGGCAGACCTTGCTGCACATGGCCATGCAGCGACAGGACAGCAAGAGCGCGCTCTTTCTCCTGGAGCACCAGGCGGACATAAACGTCAGGTGGGCTGGAACAGCACTCCGCCACAGCACCAGGCCACGTTTAGTTGAGACAGTTCATAGCCTTGCTTGTAGAAAAGAGTTTTGTTCCTTGTTAAAGGGAGAGAAACAGTGACTCTGAAAAAGTACCAATTACAGTGTTGTAATTAAATGTAATCATAGACTCAGAAGGAGAATTGTGTGCTTTGCTCTTATTTGAACCTTTCGAGACCAGGGCACAATATTGCACAAATCTCATTAAAAAGGACAGTCCAAAATCAATTGTTTAAGTAGGAATTTTCAGTTATAATGAAGAACATTCCAACAGATGAGCTATCAAAAGGCTTGAGGGGCGAAAATACACAGTTAAATTTTTATTATTTTTGTTTTTTCAAAGGAATTTATCTCCAATGTCATCTGACCCAGAATGACTGCGTGGGTGAAAGTGTTTTGTCAAGTGGGTAGTTGGGGTGACATTTTATTCAGATGCTGTTGAAAGCAGCTGTATGCCTGTAAGATTTCAGCATGTTGGGATGTTTGGCAGTTATCTTCTCTGTGCAATAGGATAACCTGGCTGTATTTTTTAAAAAGACAGGAGGGACAGATGCTATTGATGGGTTAACTTTCTCTGAAAGAATATTAATGAATGTGGGTGAAGTGTGTTTAAGGGATACAGTGGACTCTGGCCTCTAGGATGCCTAGAAGGGCACGCTTTATCATTTGGCCCCAGATACAAACATTGGTTTTGGTGTCCATGTCCCAGCAGGACTCAGGATGGGGAGACGGCTCTTCAGCTGGCCATCAGAAATCAGCTTCCCCTTGTCGTGGATGCCATATGCACCCGAGGAGCTGACATGTCTGTGCCAGATGAGAAGGGGAACCCCCCACTGTGGCTTGCGCTGGCAAATAATCTGGAGGACATCGCATCCACTCTGGTGAGACAAGCTCAACTTCAGCTCCGTTTACACGTGGAGATATTTTGTGTCAGAGATAGATTTGGGTCCTCCGTAGCAATCATAAGGAGCATGAGATCTACCAAGTAACAGATTGGGTCAAGGACAGGCAGTCAAAAGTCATGTTAAAGAAGCTTGCGGTTCAACGTAGCCTTGGCCAGCACCTTTTCGTAGGGTGTCTTTATCAAGAAAACTACCAAGAAGCAAGAGAGCTGAGGCATTTCCTCAGGGGTCTGCTCCGGTGGTGGCTTAACTGGCTGTGGGATGTCCTCACCGTCACCACAGTGATAAGTTCTCAGATCTCAGGTTTGTCCCCCTTACTCAGAAGCCAGGCTCCAAAAGTGGAGGTAGCCCCAGAAGCTCCTTTAGTTTTCTGAAGGGCCTGAAATGTGACATAAAGGCAGTTTAAACCTGGGGGTTTTACCCAGCTGTTCTCGAGATGACCTGCTGTTTACAGACGTGTGTTACTGGGGGCTCATGAGTGTGTGTATGCAGGCATTGGTGTGTGTTTTCTGTCCCTTCAAGGACACAGCTCTAGAGGGCACTAATCAAACATATATTCCTTTTATTTCTCAAACCCCTCCCGCAGGACCTAGTGCAAAAACTTGCACCAAGCAGATTTTAATCAGGGTTTGTAAAACTAAAGAATGGTACAGATTAAACTAAATCTCAGTTAACTATCTACTGTATCTCACCTGAAAACTGGGTCTAATGATGTGCGTAGGGCTCACAGATGGTAATAAACGTGTTTACCTTTGCTTGGCAGTGCTTGTGAGTGACCTGTGTTTTCCTGCAGGTCAGACATGGCTGTGACGCCACGTGCTGGGGCCCAGGACCTAGTGGGTGCCTTCAGACACTGCTGCACAGAGCCATTGATGGAAACAACGAGTCTATCGCCTGCTTTCTTATTCGCAGGTCTGAGAGGCCTGAGTATCCCTTCAGATCTTATTCAGCTTATTGCAAACTGGCTCTTTTCTCATTTACTCCAACTATAGGCTCGACCTGCCTGTGTAACTAGCTTGACCTTTGTAACGAAGGCTAGAGAGGGTCATTGTCCTGTCAGATCAAGTCAGCCAGGGAGAGAGAGGGGCTTATGTGCCCAGATCAAAGAATCTAAAAGCTAAGCCAGCTTCCTGCTTTGGGAGCCATATAGGTCCCTGTAGTCACATCAGAGCAGTTCACACAGTGAGACCCGGAGGCTGGGGTGGAGGAGACCGAATGGCCTCTGCAGGACTCCACCAAGATGCCTGAGTCATGCCCGCCTCCACGGCCTCAGAGTGCAGGAGGTGTGGGAGGTGAGGTTATTCAGGAAGGCTTTAGAGCAGTAATTCTCAAACTTTAAATGCATGCAGATCCCCTGGGGGAGTTTTTAAGAGTTCTGATACCCACGTTGCCCCCAGGAGCAATTGCCAAAGTATCTGTGGGAGCAAGGGAATTCCCTAGCAGTCCAGTGGTTAGGACTCTGCGCTTCCAGTGCAGGGGCCCGGGTTCCATCCCTCGTTGGGGAACTAAGATCCTGCAAGACGCGTGGCGTGGCCAAAAATAAAAGAAAAAAAATCTGTGGGAGCGGGACACACGCACCAGTATTTGAGGCCAAGAACCAAGGACTGCAGTCCCTGGTGGTGGCAGCCTTTCTGTTGGGTTGGATAAGGCTGCTGCTTTACACCTGTTAGCATGCCTTTAGGCTCGGTGGAAGCATGCGTTCCTTTTACTTCCCCTTCCTTTCAGTGGCTGCGATGTGAATAGTCCCAGACAGCCTGGTGCTAATGGAGAAGGAGAGGAAGAGGCCAGAGATGGGCAGACCCCCTTGCATTTGGCAGCATCCTGGGGGCTGGAAGAGACGATACAGTGTCTTCTGGAGTTTGGTGCCAATGTAAATGCACAGGTAAGGAGAGTGTCTCTTTTCCAGGAAGATGGATGGTAACCCCAGAATCAGGGAAATCACCTCTTATGGCCAGGGACCTTGCAGAGTCTCTGGTCTCGGGCCTCTGCTTTTCCATGAATGGGCCTAAGGGACGGACACACGAAGTGACTGTCTCTTGGGTCATGTAGCCTGTCTAGTAGTTTTAATGACTTCAGGTTAAGACTTTTCGTCTCTTTACCTTTGTCCTTTCTACAAAGTGAGGAAGATTTGTTCAATCAACTTTTCTTTGCCTCCTGTCCACATTAGTTACAGATTTCCATTGAGAATTTGTTCCTATCCCAAGCTGAGTACTTACTGTGTTTAGGAAAATGTTCCAGTAGCTCAATAGGGCATCCCTGAGTTACGTTCCTTGATGCTTTTCAACGTTCTAGCCCGTAAAGATTTGTGTGCAGCGGACTTCCCTGGCAGTCCAGTGTTTAAGGTTCTTCTAATACAGGGGACGCGTTCGATCCCTGGTTGGGGAACTAAGATCCCACGTGCCGCACAGTGCGGCCAAAACCAGAAAAGATTTATCTGGCCCTGCAGCCAGATAAGTAGTGGTTTAACTTAGAGGTGAGGGTGACTGCTTTTTTTTTTAAATAAATTTATTTATTTTATTTATTTATATTTGGCTGCGTTAGGTCTTTGTTGCTGCACTTGGGCTTTCTCTAGTTGCGGCGAGCGGGGGCTACTCTTCGTTGTGGTGCGTGGGCTTCTCGTGGTGGCTTCTCTTGTTGCGGAGCACGGGCTCTAGGTGCATGGGCTTCAGTAGTTGTGGCTCGCGGGCACTAGAGCACAGGCTCAGTAGTTGTAGCACACGGGCTTAGTTGCTCTGCGGCATGTGGGATCTTCCCAGACCAGGGCTCGAACCTGTGTGTCCTGCATTGGCAGGCGGATTCCCAACCATTTCACCACCGGGAAAGCCCATATCGCAGCTTTTCTAAACCAGATGTGTTTGTGCCCCTGGTCACTGGAGCGTGGAGGTAATGGGGAGTGGCTGTCAGTCATCTCTGTGTTTGGCCTTTTGAAAAGCTGATTTCAAATACAGAGTGGCAGTATTGATTCTCAGAACTGAATTCTGTTTACAGGTTATTCCCCTTCATATTTTTCTTGGGTTTTATCTTTGCTTGGACCTTGAAATCTGTGCCTTGTCCCCACAGGATGCAGAAGGAAGAACGCCTGTCCATGTGGCCATCAGCAACCAACACGGCGTCATCATTCAGCTGCTGATTTCCCACCCTGACATCCACCTGAATGTCCGAGACAGGCAGGGCCTGACCCCCTTTGCCTGTGCCATGACCTACAAGAACAACAAAGCGGCCGAGGCCATCCTGAAACGAGAGTCCGGGGCTGCTGAGCAGGTGAGTGACCGGCACCCAACATTCTCCACGGCGCCCCAAGCACTAAACACATGTCACCAACTAAACAGGGCTCTTCTCGTTAAAGACATTTGTACTCCCCTTTCTTAAATTTTGGCCGTTCAGATGTCCTGTCAGTGCTGGATGGAATGTGCCTGCTCTGCCCTGCATGCCAGCCACCTGCTGGTGCCATGTGTAGAAGGGAGCTGGCGGAGGCTGGGCCCAGTGACAGAAATTCTGTGCTTGTACAACTGAGGGCATTCTTTACTTTTGCTGGGTGGTTTACTTGCCCTAGTAATGAATGTCTTAAAAGGGTTAAATTGAACTTGAGCTTTTGGTGTCATGTTGGGTTTTAGAGGAGCTGTCAGCATTCAGCTTAGCAGGCTCAGTTGTCCTTGTTCTGGATGGTGAGCTGTTGACCTGCAACATCAGACTGGGCGGGAAAGGACAGAGGCAACTGATTGAAGGCGGGAGCTGGGATGGGTTTGTGAAGTCAGTTCTCAGACACTTGAATCTCCATCCAGCACTTTATTTGTCTATTCATGCCAAGATTTATGAAGGTAAATTGGAAACTTGGGACCTGAACAAAAGTACTAACATGGGTGGAGACTTTTGCTTTGTATTTCAGGCTTCCGTACATCCCTTTTCTTCAGCATTTGCCTCAGTGTGACTGATCGAGTAGGTGTTGACCTCACCCTTGCTCACATGGGGTAAAATGTTCATGAATGGGGATAGTCATTTCACATTTCCTCCCCATCTAGCATGAAACCGGTGTGTGTGTGTGTGTGTGTGTGTGTGTGTGTGTGTGTGTGTGTGTGTGTGTGTGTGTGTGTGTGTGCTTGTGTGTGGATGGGGATAGTCATTTCACATTTCCTCCCCATCTAGCATGAAACCGGTGTGTGTGTGTGTGTGTGTGTGTGTGTGTGTGTGTGTGTGTGTGTGTGTGTGTGTGTGTGTGTGTGTCTGTGTGTCTGTGTGTGTGTGTGTGTCTGTGTGTGTGTCTGTGTGTGTGTGTGTAGCATGTGTGTCTCCCTCACTTCCTCCTGAGCCCTCACACTGATATGGCAGCTCTGGGAGCTGTAGTGTCCTGTGTGGTTTGATGTGAGTGAGCTTCTGTCTGCTTTACATCAGTGGTGCAAAGTCTATGACATACTGTTGGCGGCCTCCCCCAACATGTATTATTATCCTGTAGCTCAGTGAAAGAGGAGACTTTCTGGAAATTTCTGAAGGTTTGTTTGGCTGCTCAGGGGTCAGGCTGGCATTGCAGCTGTGGTTTTTAGAATTCTGGGTGCTTGTTTTAGCCAAAGCAGGAAACCCCCAAAGCCGATGTCCACCATTGCCTTTCCCCATGCATCCCAGTATTCTGGTGCTTTCCTTTCCCTTTCCTTTAGGTTGTCTCTTTCTTGGCCTTCCAAGGAGTCCACTCCTGCTGCAGGAGGATGCCGGGGCAGCTTGGGTTAGGTCCTTTTTCTGACCACGCACATGTGGTCACACGCATAAATACGCAGTGTGGGTCTATGGTGGGGTGTGGGGCGTGGGGTGTAGCGCAACATTTAGTGTTGGTTCTTGGGAGGGAGCTTCTGGAACTGAGGGAGGACTACACCGTGGCCTCTCCAGTGGTCAGTGCGGCTTGCGGGTGCTCAGGAGGCCCTCTTGCAGGGGGAGCCCACTAATATTTTGGTTCCCACTTGTTGCCTTAGGTGGATAACAAGGGCCGGAATTTTCTTCACGTGGCAGTTCAGAACTCTGATATCGAAAGTGTGCTCTTCCTGATCAGCGTCCAGGCTAACGTGAATTCCAGAGTCCAGGATGCTTCCAAGTTGACCCCTTTGCACCTTGCTGTCCAAGCAGGCTCAGAGATTATTGTCCGCAATTTGGTAAGTGTTGCTGAAATATTATCGCATGAAACGTGTGGACAAAGCATGTTGTAGAGTGTGTGCGGACTCTCATCACAGGTGTTTGGCCAGGTATTGTGAAAGGCCAGCAGGA